GCCCTTAGTTCCCCAGACATACAGCTTATAACCATCATGGCCTACCACATCCACATCACATGGGCAACCGAATCTCCAAAACCCACTGCCGAAATAAAGACACATCCTGTCAACAGCACTATCGTCTTGCAAGGCACCCACAAATGGAAGTGGCATGTTAACTTTAGCCATCCTATGTATGTACCCACACTTCCCCCTTGAAAGCACACACACATAAAGTCACCAAAGAACAGACTCATCTTGCTTTCCCATACGACAACTCTGAAGAATGTAATAGAAATAAAAGAAACAGGATTTCACAGAAATGCAAACAGTAACATTAAGCTGTCCCCACCAGCACAGTGTCTCACTGAACACCCTTAAATGCTCCAAGAATAATGACAATTCACATATTTTGTCTATCAGGAATTTTCAGGAACATTTGCTCTGGATCAACCAATGGACTTGACCAAACCACTTGCTGTATACCCAAATACCCACTTACTCAAAGCATGTTCTAACACTGAACAAACTTGGTAGTTGCCTCTTAAGAATGGTTGAGAGATCTGAAACCAAGCTTCTGTAGGTCAGATAGATCCCACTGCTGCTGAGTTTCCTGCTTGGAGGAAACCCTACCTACCTTGTTCCTAAAGTGACTTTTGGTCTGCTGCATAGAGCATACCTGGAAGTTAGTCGATCAAACCTCTGAGCTATGCAGCTCAGTATGTCTCTGGCAATGGCCAAAACCCAGTGAGTCAACGGAAAATGCAGTACTTCAAAAGAAACTTTTACAAGAGACAGTTCTGGAATAACATGATCACTGCAAGATGAGCTTTATTATTCCTTACACCTTTTTATCCAGAGTAACAACAAGCATTCCCATCATTCTTAGCTGAGTCTCACAAATTACTTGCCCACAACGGTATCCAGTGGCAATAGGTTTCAAAAGGTTACATGCTGCCTTTTCCATTTTAAAAGTCTGATGTGCTTGCTGTGCTTGACTTTTATAGAAGACGAGGCAGCATGCAACCATCACACTGATATGGACCCATTTCACCTCCACCACTGTTCCTAGGAAAACATCCTTGGAGTGTTTCAGCCTCCCAGAGACCCAAAAGAGCAACTACACTTAACTAGGTGGCTACGAAAGACACATACAGCTGATGCAGAGAAATAACAGGAATAGTGGAGAAATTCTGACTTTGACAGCTATTAAGTCAACACACCTATTTTGTGACCATCCTCCAGGATTGTTTGGGGGTTTTTTTCCCCCAAAAGCCTGTTGCCACCTTTTTTCTCCTCCTTTTTTAAAGCTACCTTTTGCTCTTTTATCTTTACATTGCCCTTTAAGAAATCAGAAAATATTTTCCTTCCCTGCTAGTCTTTACACTATTTTCTCAACTGTCAAATGATGAATGGGAAAAGTGGCACAGATTTATCCCCATTTCTGACATCCTTGAAGTAAATGCGGGGGGTTGTTTTTCCACCACAACTACAATTTGCTTGTATGTATTCACACACATGAGTCATTTAATAAAGGCAGCTGGCACTGAGGAACACTGCCAAATTAACAGACTTCTAGTTGTCCCCCAAACAGGTATAATACCTTGTTTGTGCCATGGCAGTTCATAGAGGGGACAGCTGACACTGAGGTGCCATTGTGCTAGCTGCTGTACAGACAGACAGTGGTCCCTGTCCTCATTACAAAAGCTAAGGCTCCAATTCTAACTAACTCGAGAGGTACTGACCTTAGTTTGTGGCTCATTCCCACATAAACACTCTTCATTTGGATGTGGCATGGTTTTTACTGAGGTTTAACAGCTCTGTATGGGAAATCTGTCAGCTCTGGTTTTTTTGCTGTGTAAATGTCAATTCATGGCACAGTACTGCTTCCAAAAAGGAGGCAGTGACACCTAGCACATGCAGGTCAGGGAGCTACTGCACAATGTCACTGGCTTGAGATGATTAAAATAGGACTTAGATTTGAGGCAATGATTGATGTTTTGAAGGTCTTTGTGTCTACTGGTCCTGGGCTTCCAGAATATTCACTCCTCCATGTACAAGTACAATTATACTAGCCTCCTGTCTCATATGGGTAACTCACTTCCACTAAGTACTCCCCAGTCCCACAGGCAGCCCAAGGCTACACCCCTCTGAGCTGCCTTGAACACTTCTCTAGAGGCTTTGTCCCAGCACCTGCGAGAGAAACCTCTTTCAAACAAGAAGATACTGAGTCTGTGGATTTGATCCCATAGTATATCCCAAATTAAAGTGGTAGGACAATACAAAAGGCTTAATGGAAAAAGGGGGCTCGCACAGACTTTCTAATAATCCTCCAGATGCTAGCCATGGAAAAGTAAGCACCTGCTCTTCTAGAATCAACTACAATTTTTATGAGCAACATACCAAGTGCTTTTCAGAAACAATTAGACACACCTATTAAGCCACTCTTCCTGACACTCATCTTTTGTTTTGGGAGAAAAGTTCTCCCAACATTCAGACTTGATTTCTCCCACTGGTTTATTATACCCTTGTTCTAGACAATACCCTCAGAAGTTAGAATATTTTCTTAATATACATCACAGGCTAACCATAAAAAAGCCTTAAACCCCAGCAATTGTGCATTTTATCCATGAATGAAGTAAACATGATAGAACTCAGAAGTCACATTACCTCTGATGATCCATGACCTGCACTGACTTTCAGAAGTCTTCTCATCTCTGATTTTGTGTGGGTTACATACATGCAAATACCCTCCTGCTTGGTCTTCACATCTTTCAGTCAGACATCATCATTTTCTCCCCATTTGTCATTTAGCAAGGTCTTCTATTTTAGTATTGTTACATTCTCTTTCTATTAGTAAATCCTTCCACAAATTATATCCTGGTTGTGGGAACCGAAGTCTCCCAAGCTCCTATGTATGAGACCCTAGCTCCCATGTTCTATAACAGAGAACCATCATTCATAGCAGACTAACCATTAATCTTGCAGAGTTCAAATTTTACACATGAAACTCATTGCCATAATACACCACACAGGCAAAGATTAATGGAAGTTCAAAAAAAGGACTGTCTGTATATATAACAAGAATTTCCAGAAATTATAAAGATACAGGGAATCAGACTAATGCTCTGACTAGTTGGAGATAAATGCTCTCTCCCTTGACTCTTCCCAGGCTTTAAAAGTAACACTGTCCTCCCTTCAGAAGCATTCCACTAAACACAGCGGTATTGTGTTCAGGCCTCCAGCCTCCCTTGCACAGTCCCTGTCTTATTTTAGCCACAGATTTACTTTTGTCCAAGGCAGCACAGCCCTGTTTGCCCCACAAACTCAGAATTGTGGCACTGTGATAACAGAAAACTCAGTCTCCATGTCAAAGATCCCAGTAGATCATGGCTTCATCCACAGCATACGAATCACAGAACTGGTTAGATTGGAAGAGACCTCTTGGTATATTCTAGTCCAAGCCCCTGCTCAAGTGAGTCAACTGGAACAGGCTGCCCAGGACTGTGTCCAGTACACTCTGTACCTTAATGTGCAAAATTAAAGAGAAGAAAATGTCCAATTCACATAGATGTGTGAATGTTTACAAGCCATGGCACAAAACAAGCCAGAAAACAAAGGATGCCCATCCAACCTCCAGTCCTTCTTCAGGAAATGCATCAGATCTGCAGTTCAAAGACAGCAGCCTCCTGTTGATGAGAATCTCAGTCTTATACCTGGGACCTCAGCTCCAGCACCAGACATGCCTTCTGTCAGGCTAAGGGCTCCCACCGTGCCAAATGGAAACACGGACAAACTTCCCCACGTGCTTGATTTTGCGTCAATCTCCAGTAAGGAAAAATGGGCTTGTGTAGAATAATCAGATGGTATTTAAGGAGAACTGAGTGTAAAGCTTATAACTTTGAGGGAGATCTAACATGAAAGACAAACTAGCAGATATAAGAGAAAGACAGAGACAGAAAAAAATTTTGTCTTTCTCTTCACACTGCTGCTTGTCAACTGAGCAATGATTACTAGCTGCAGCCAGAATTGCTCAGGTCCTAAAAGGTCCAGTCACCCTTAAAGTCTAAAGCCCTGAAATACATCAGACAATTAAAAAAATTCACCCTGTTAAAGCAAAGTTTCTCTTGATCTTTGCTCACAGAAGAGAAATTAACCTGCTATCATATGATCAAAAGTAA